TTTTGATATACTGTTACTACTGCAGCTGATTCCTATTTAAGAGTAAATGTCTAGAATATACCTACAAAAACGACTTCATAAATGATTTACACACACTAAACAATAAAATAAAATCTGGAATAATTTTATTTTTCTTCACTTAAGAAAACTTAAAATTTACAGTCAGAAATTTTTTATACTAATTTTTAAACTCTTTAAGTCTCACATAATCTTTCTAAGCAATATTAAAAGAAAAGTGCACAAAATCCACAAAATCAGAAACAGAAGATCTAATAAAACATAATCTTATCTTATTAACTTACAAACAAAACAAATGGCTGATTAATTTGAGAGTAATTTTAGTTATTCTTATATAGGAATAAAGTGACCCTGCCGACACTTGTGGCGGAATATAGAGCTATATATTTTTTTGAAAAAAAAAACTTATTACCAAGTATATATTTTTGGAAAAATATATTCCCAGTAATAGATTTTTGAAGAAAAAAATATTAACAGAAATACATTTTGAAAAGAAATATTACCAGCAATAAGTATTGTCGGCATTAAATAACCCATTGAGGTTGATATGCCGTAAAACAAGTCAAACCAGATCAAAATAACCATATGTAGACTTATTCCAAAGGAATTAGAATTTACAATTATATTTCTCATAGACACTTACACACATATGATGATTGAAGCATGACTATTGTATATTCAACAAGCAGTCGCCGAAATCTGAATGTGTAAAAATGATCTTGATTTCTATTTCTTTTCGATATTTTTCTCTTCGATTAACATTTTATGACTCTTATCTTTGTTAATAAATCGTAACATGACTATTTCTCGCTGTTTCGTTTCGCGTCAAATTCTTCCCAATGTTTGTCGGTCATTTTTTGACTTTGGCGAAACGATGATGATGGTTATATTTCACCTAAACTGTCAACAAAGAAGACACAGATGATATCATCATCGCTAGATGATGTTTTGAATAACTGGCGAACACGAACGGCAAACGTCATGATAGATGCCAAAAGACAGGGAATAATCCAATACAAAATTCCAGATCCTTGTAAAATTAGCGAATTCAACAGATAGAATACACTGTCAAAGACCTTGCTAAAAGAAATACAATCCTTTCGGAAACAGCAACAGCTAGAATATTTCAAAGAAAACCAGAGAGATCGTCCCAGGCAGCAGTCGTAGCAGGATCAAATGCAGTTACTATACGAACCACGCAAAGCATAAAATAATTCTGAGTTATTTATGGAATTATGAATTTCCAGGATTTCTTAAGTTCCTTGCTTTTTGCTCAAATTTGGTAAACACATTCACGCATACATACACACATATACACATACATTCATATATATATATATAATATATATATGTGTATATATATATATATATATATATATATATATATATATATATATATATGTGTGTGTGTGTGTGAAAGAATATAGTTTTAAGCTTTGCTATATTTATGGGAAAAAGTGCTCAATATCAAAGATTTAATGGCTTGTTTTGGTCTTGTAAGATAAAGCTATTTATTCGTCCAATTATTGGAATGATTGCTGTTGCCTATTGTGCGAATTTTTGCGGGGGACAGTTTTTAATTTATTTATTATTTCATTTATTTATTTGGATTGATTATTTCTACTTGTTTGTGCTTATTTGTTTTTTAGTTCAAACAGTTACTTTAGCGGGAGCGATTTGTTAATTTGTTATTTAATTTATTTATTTGGATTAATTTGTACTTATTATTTTCTTATTTATTTGCTTATTTTTATTTACTCTAAGCGATTTTCGACTTTTGAGTCAGGTAGTATTTTTTAACGTTACATAGGAATTACAGCTATGCACAGCTTTGTATCAGGACACTGCACCATATAACACAAGCAGATGGACCCATTCATGGCTGTCAGACAATTTCTGTGACCACATCATCCCCTACACCTGGCAACTCTACCTCCCCACACTCTATCCAAGTTGATGATTATATGTAGCGTGCAGTTGAGCATTAGACCAACAAACCCTTTGTAACGCGAAAAATAAAGTCAAGAATGTTGTCAGTAATCACCAACTGAAACAGAGAAACCATCCAGAAGAGTTTCATGAGATTCCGAAGTCGTCTATAGACCGTGCTTGTAGTCAGTGGTGATTTTATGTAATATTTTTTCTCTTTAGTAATTGAAGATATTTTTGTTTAGCTTTAGTAAATATATCTTTTAAAATGTCATGCCATTGCTATATTCATTTTTGCGTAATCGTTCGTCTTTCTGGGTTTTCTCTCATGTCAGTGTAACGATATTACGTAGCGCAGGTTGCCTTCCAAACTTTAACGTATCTGTGGATATGGATAACTGAACACTGCCGGAAAATCAGATGAATTTTTTAAAGCTGGAAAGTCAATAACTGCAATGCACTGAAATTGAGTCTCACCTGAAGTCGAACATTTCCGAACAATCTTTCAAAAGTTCCCGCATATTTCAATTTCTTTCTAATATAATCAGGTAGTGTGCTCCTCGGCCAAAACACAACTTAAAAAAAACAAAAAAAAAAAAACAAAAAAAAAAACGGATAAGCAATAGCTTCTACACCCCGGAGAATCATCTGAAAATATAAAAATAAAATACAAATAACAAAAAAAAAAAATTAAATACTTAATGAAAATTGGTAAAAAAACATCCGTCACAATGTCAGTTCTAATCAACACTACACATCATGTCAAAACCGAACCGGCATTCTTGCCCTCCACGTGGCGTCTAAATCAGTCAGTCGTACTTACTATCCATATACACAAGACAAATTTTTCCCAAACTGGATTTAATAAAAATCTATTATCAATTCCCAGAGCAGTACATACCCATGTTAGCCGTTAAAACTTCTTTTGGATTATCTGAGGTCATGAAAATGTCATTGGTTTACGTAACATAGTAAAATCTTACCAACGAGTAATCGATACGTGACCTCACTTTTACTCTCGCATACTGGATGTATGCTGTATTAGTTGTGAATCAAAATAAACAAGAATGTCATAACCACTTAAACCATATTTTCGAAATGTTTGTTTTGTTTTACAACATATCAATTTCAATAGATTATTTAATGTCGACAAAATTTTTATTGCTCGTAATATTTTGTTTTGTCAAAAATCTATTTCTGGTAATATTCTTCCTTCCAAATGTATTGCTGGTAATATTTTTTTTCAAAAATATATTGCAAATAATATTTATTTTTTAAAAAACATTGTTGGTAATACTTTTTTCAAAAATATATTTCTGGTAATATTTTTTTTTCAAAAAATGTATTGCTGGTAATAATTTTTTTATAAAGTTTTCTGGTATTAAAACCTCTTTTTACACTTTCATAGTGATTTTACCCCAGTTTAGGAGATAACTATTTGCCCATAGCTGGGACCTTAACAGGTGCTACCACACCGGGTTAGGGTGGACCTGGGAACATCAGCAATTAAGAGGTTGTTCCACGCTCCTCAATACCTCCTGATAAAAAGCCTTGCTGCTGGACATAATTTATCGTTTTACTCAGGCCGCGGATATCGTTTATCGTCACACCACGGGCGAATTTTCGAAAAGACTGCAACAAGTTGGGATTAAAATAAACATTGATAAGTGTAAAAAAGCTTACTTTCCTCGGGCGAAGCAGTAATATCTTCTTTATTCGGGCATATCACTTTACACGAAAAATTTTCTCATCCGACCTCACTCAAGAAATTTCATCGATTCATTGGCTTAATTCATATGGTCGATTTTTACGAAATTTTTACTCCATCTTACAAAGTTAAAGCAGAGCAAGGATAACATAAATGTCAAAATCATACTGCAATGATCTACACTGCATGCTTGCAATGATGGAAAAAGACTTTGGTAAATTTCACAAGGTTGACTTTCATCAGTGAAGAACAAGAATTTCTTCTTGTTCTTTACTGATGAAAGTAAACATTGCAGTAAAATTTTGACATTTATGTTCTTACCCATCTTATACTTACAAACGATACAGCATCATAATGTGTTGTTTCAGTCGTACATCAGATTAGAAATGGAGAATACAAACCAATTCCCTTGCGTTCTGTCAAGCTGAATGCGTTTCGAAAGATATATAGTAGTTTTCACTTCTAAAAGTTTATTTACCAATAAATCAATAAAAAAATGTTCAACCCATCCGTGTAGATCGTGATTATATAAATTGTGCTTATTATAAACCACTTGTATACGCTTTGTACAGTAATTCAGATATGCATTCCTCACATAGTGGAGATGAATTACCCCTCTTTATACACAACCGTTTACACATCCACACTTATTGCGCTACGTGACTGTCCTTAGAATCACATGTAAAACTTCCAGATAATATATTAAATGCCATGCTTACAATAATTCAACTCCATTTAACATCTGTGAGGAAAGTTAGAGATATCGCTAAATTCTTAGTATCCATACCCGGGAAACGGATCACAGTTATGGAGATCACTAAAACGGTCCTTTTTACACATACGTCTACAGTATATATAAAACTAGTCTCAAGTAAGTATCACGTTGCACAAAAGCCGTTATTTAGGCGAAATAGGGAGGTATGCTTCTGCGCGGTTGTTTTAAGTTTTTTTTTTCTTTTCTTATTAGTGTCCTTCATTTTCCTTTTACATATATATTTCATTGTTTGCTGTTATCTTTTCCGCATATTTTATCATGTTTCTTCAATTTTTTATATTTTTTCCTTTCTCACGTTGAATATTTGTCATTCCTTATTCATACAGGATATGGAAGAAATACCTCTCGCATAATAAAAAGACATCATTTTGCTAATGTCTTAGCATTATATAGTAGGTATTTCTGGGAGCTATGTGTGGTAAATATTTCGGCAGCACGCTGTACTTTCTCATTTTTATTCATTCTCTTGGCATTTCGATTTTTTTCGATTTCATTTTCTTTCTTCTTTATTTTCTTTAATTCTCCTTCTAATTTTGATTTCATTAACTTCTTCTTTTCTTCCGTTACCAGTTCCACCTTAAATGTCCAGCTGATATCGTTTACGACGTTACCCAGTGTGTCGGCTCCCACTTTTTCCTCTTCTTCGTTTACATTTCATATCACCTCCCCACACTTGACATCGAGTACTTTTACTTACATCTGCCTTGCAATGATGCCATACCTAGGCGTGTCGGTGGGGTCGCTTTCTGTCTGTCTGTCTGTCTGTCTTTAGCTGTTTAATCTTGGCTTAACTTTCCACTTCGAAATCTGATCAGGCACACAAATCGGAAGTCGAATGGCTTTCCTTGGCATACTTTTCTCTTCCGAATCGAGAATTAATGTTCAGCCTTCAGATTTTCTTTAGCTGCATTCAGGATAATGCTTTCAAAAATAAAGAGATAAGTAAAAGAGAAGAAGAAAAAAATGCCAGACAGACAAAATAAAAGATGTACAATGAAAGATTCAGTTATAGTTCTAAAAAGCAGTGAAAACACACACACACACATGTACGTATATATATATATATATATATATATATATATATATATATATATATATAGAGAGAGAGAGAGAGAGAGCTAGAGAGAGATGGAAGAGAGAGAGAGCGAAACACATAGAGAGAGACACACATACATACACACGCATACACACAGGCACACATACGCAGCACACACACATAGATAGATAGATAGATAGATAGATAGATAGATAGATAGATAGATAGATCTTCGCGAGGAGGGAGATACATTATTAAACTATATCTGATTTTATTATGCAAGATGTAATGTTTTAAGAAGAATCATTTTTATTAACCAACCAATATTATTATCTTCGGTATATACTCAGATTTATATTATAAATAAAAATATGAATTGCCGCTTATAATATAAATTTGTATTTGAAATACGGAAAATTAATGATGAAAAGTATTTGCATTAAATTAGTAAATGGTGTGGATTTTTATACAATTCAATGGATGAACATCATATGGTAAATAAATATATATATGACAGTTATTGAAGAAAAAAAGTCCCTGCTTAATTGAGAATGATATAAACTCAAAATAAAACGTTATTTGATTTAAGAAATTGCGAAAGCTTTGAACCGAATTGATAAAACATGGTAAAAGAAACCCTAAATAATGTTAAGAGAAGTAAAAAAATGGCTTTAACAATATCATAACATTAGATTTAACAAAAATAAAAAAGGTAATCAAAAATATATGTCACTTGAACTCTTTAAACTATTCTTAAGAATCCGATCAGGGATAATTATGCAGAATATAGAGGACATTTTATAAAAGCATGAATTCAACCGAACTATTACGTGTATGTTTGCTGAGAAAATATATGAGATTTTTCTTAACAATAGATTATTTTTCCTGAGGAATTTAGGGTTACATTGAATAGAACTTATGGAAAGTTTCTGATCCAAGGAAGAAGGATAAATATTTTGGGACATTATTTTACGTATGACTTTCATCCAAAGTTGTAGCGGAAGACATGATAAACACAGAATTATAGTACACTCCTGGACAAGAGAATTATGACAGGTCAGATTGGCAAACTGTGCTATTTCACATTTTTCGAAACTGAATATTATCTACGTTTGAAAAAATATTCCTATCTTCTAGAATTAATGGCAATGTTTCTAACCTATCCGGATAATAAGCCAAAAGTACTCATGCAGCTCATCATGAAAATACTGTATAAACAGACTGGAAATAGTCTATAAACAGACTGGAAATAGTCTATAAACAGACTGGAAATCAATATTCAAGCAATTAATATACGTATGAATCAATAAATGTTAATATAAGGAATAATGAATTTGAAACAGCTGTATATTTTTTTTAAATTGATGAAAACATAATAAAAGCAAATGGAGTGTGCCAAATGCAGAAGCGAACACAAGATAAGCCTCTTCATAGCCAATAGCCTGCCATACCTAACAAACTGATATAGGCAAACCTTAAACCGATCAGTGGTCACTTAATTCAGGGTTAAAAGCTTAAAGAAAAGTTTTTATTCTTACTGCAGACAAGAAATTACCAATCACACTTACTGAACAATGTTATTGGCCCCAAATACAGATTATGTGATAAATATCCAGAAACAATTGACCATTTTGTATTACGTTGAAAAAATGAAAGGATCCCTTGTAGCCAATGCCTTAAAGAAATACAAATAATTGTACTGATACTTAAACCTCACACATTACGAAGAGATTTATCTATGTAAAATGTGTATGATATTGATTACTTTTTTAAAATGAACAGTGGAAGATGTGATGAAACCATTTCTGATCTTAGGTCTCACGTTGAGTCCTGAAAGGAAACATGTATACTAGAGAAATCCAAGGAAATAATAATAACTCAATATGAAGTAATGTGCTTTCCCTCGAACATTCACGTCATTCTTAATTGTTAACATAATACAATCTTATATTATCTAAACTTATTTTTAGTAATTATTTTTAAAAGTATATATTAAAAGAATACACATTATTATAAAGGAAATATTAAAAGTGTTTATATTAGCATCTGTATATATTTCTAAAATGAGGTATTATGTACATTATTGACATTATTCGGACTATTGTCCTCATCTTTTAAACATGGCACGTGGAACTAGAACAGTCTACGCCAGTGAGCGAAAAAAATGTTTAAGTTCGACATTCAATCCCTCTGAAGAAGGCCAGAGCATACTACGGCCGAAACGATGTAATAAATATAGCGACAAAGACAATAGTCCGAATAATGTAAATAATGAATATATATTATTATAGAAGAAAATACTAAAAAGTATATATATATATATATATATATATATTATTATCAATAACCTAAACTATAGATTGTCCATGTAAATCGATGTAGAAACAGGTAATTGAACTGTTATTTTGGATAATAGATATTTCGTGAATAAAACAAACACACAAACACAAACATGCACACACACACACTCTCACGCACATATCTATCTATCTATCTATCTATCTATATATATATATATATATATATATATATATATATATATATCTTTCTATATATATATATATATATAGAGAGAGAGAGAGAGATGAAGTGGAAAGAGTATATTGAATTAATTGCTAAATCTACAGCTAAGAAAGTTGTTTCGTTATAATATGCTAGACAATATTTTTCGCCGATGTTTATTTTAAATATTTATATGTTTACCATTTGTCCTTACTTTGAAGATTGTTGTAACATCTGGTTTGGTGATCCTGCTATTTATTTAGATATTCTTGATAAAATCCAAACAAAAATCTTAAATGATTTTTCTCCTGACATCGGGATCATTCCCTTTCCCAACAACTTAACGTCATTTTCCTGTGCCTTTTCTCTCTCTCTCTCTCTATATATATATATATATACTTCTCCCTTGTGGAAATCTCTTCCGGAGTTTTGCTTCCGAGTGAAATTTAATCTTCAAAAACTTTGAATGCAATATCCTTCGTTACTTTCTGCCATCTCAATTCTTTTATTTTCTTATATTGCCTTCTCTCTCTCTTTATTATTAATATTTCTCATATTCTCTTACACTCAGTAACCTCTTGCCTTAGAATTGCTTTACTTTATTCTTTGCCTTGCCTTGCAAAAACGCACACACACACATATATATATATATATATATATATATATATATATATATATATATATATATATATATATATATATATATGTGTGTGTGTGTGTGTGTGTGTGTGTGTAATTTTGTATTCTTTTATATAACAACAAACAGTATTTGCAAAAATATTATGTCTAATTTTAAAAGGTTTTTGTGACGTCTTTCTGAAAATTCTTCGTTTTCAGGTTGACGTTAACGATATCTGGATTTGGTATGGGATTGGTTAATCCGTTTGAATGTTAATTACCGAGATATTTTTTTTAATTATTTCACCTCAAGCATGGCAGTACAGCCATTAAGACATAAGGGACTACTGAGCGTGAAAATTTAAGAAAAAAAAATATTAAGGAGGGAGACCAATAAAATACGGAGAATTAAGAAGACTGTAGATAACGATCAACATAGTATTTAAATTTGGGAAGATCAAATTTGTCCGGAAGCGAGTTCCACAAGCGAAAGATGCAAGATATTCTTCCGTTAGCATCGAACGGTTTAATATAGCCAATTCAACTGTAAATTGATGAGCCCTTGTGTCTAGAGTTTTATCTTTATTCTCTAAAACAGATTGTGGTGTGTGCTCATGCCATTGTCATTTATGGCGAAATTTATATCGTTAGAATATTCCAGGAAAAAAAAAAACTTACAGAAAGTGCAAAACTGGAAAATATGTAAACCAGGTGAAAGAACTGATACAAGTTTTTTTTTTTGAAGTACTGGGAAATTTTCAGAAGTTCCTTAAAAATGTTTGAAGAACTCGAATACAAAACATGATAGTGAAGTATTAAGAATATTTGATTTCAATTAATCTCTATTCTTTAATCCAATTTTTAATGGTGTGAAAATTCAAAGATGCGATAAGGATTTAAATCATGTTAACAACAGATTACACATAAAAATAGAAGGGAATAAGAGTAGTGTGTTTTTCAATATAGCCAAATCCATGTGTATTTTTTTTTCTCCCCATCACCGTTGTCCCTGCATATATCACATTCTGGCAACAGAAAATCTAACAAGAATGGTTATATCTTGCAAGAGCCTGGATGCAAGTAGCTCGTGGCTGAACTAGAACAACACCACCTCACCGAGGGGATTGATGTAGGCCTCCGTATTGAGTATGAGGCCCTGTGGGTAGATGAATGAAGTCCTAACGCTGCCAGAACTAGTACTCATTCCCAAAAAAAAAAAAGACGTTCGCAATCACCATTAGACCAGACCAACTTTTTCGGAATCATCTGCGCTGTTCTCAGATTGCCATCCAAACATACCGCAATGTCTGTATTGGAGTTTCCACAACGAATGCCAAGATTACTTCATGCAGTTTCCAAATTTCTGGCGAAGTGAATTGCATGATGGTGCTCTTGTTTTCGAACATGGTTCCCTACTGACCCTAATTTAATTTTCAGTCGACAAAATCAAAACGAAATGATGTGCATGCACGAAATAAAAAAAAATGGTGGTAACTTACGCATCGCAACCGGCGTGTGTGTGTATATATATATATGTATGTGTGTATGTATATATATATGTATGTATATATATGTATGTATATATATATATATGTATGTATATATATATATATATATATATATA